CCCGCCTACCTTCCACTGCAGGAAGAGGATGTTCATGATGGCTAGGAGCGGGCAGGGCCCATTCTCGCTCTGGGTGATGATGGGGGTCCTCTCTCCTTTCCAGCTGATCCACTTCACGCAATAGAAGTCGGGCTCGGGCTCGCGGGCTGGGGGCTGGGCCTTGGTGGCCTCCGACACCTGCCCCACGGCGCCCAGGCTAGGGCTAGCGATGGTGGAGGCTTGCCGGGAGGAAACGCCTGCCGTTTGGCTGCCTCCCGTGGGGGGACGCTGCTTCTCTTTGGGGTCCGCCTCTCCTTCGGGCTCCCCACGCTCCAGCTGCTCGGCTTCGTCACTGGGCCCTGCTCTCGGGGACGGACCCTTCGTTGGGGCATCTTCAGGCTGGCAGCTCGGGCTGCGCTGCCCTGAAGGAGCCTCCTCACCGTGCAATACCCCAGTCTCCTCTGGGCTTCCTAGCTCCTGCCCATTCAACAGGCAGGCTTGAGCTGCTGCCAGCTGGGTTCTCTCTCCCAGGCCAGCAGTGCCTTCCTCGAGCGGGCAGGTTTCAGGTCTGGTGCCTTCCGTGTTTACATCCTCCCCTTTGGTGGCCACAGGATCCACCTGCTCAAGCCGGGGCTCCATCTGGCCCAGACAGCAGGCAGAGTCCTTAGTGCATTCACCAGGGCCGGGAGCGGATCCTGGTTCCCTTTCCACGGCTGTCTGACTCTGTCGTTTGTTTCGCTCCTGTCCCTGATTTTACAAATTCTCAGGGAAGCCGATTCCACTCAACACAACTGGAGGGGGGAACAGCGGCCACCACGATCGGCTTCTGAAAAAAAAAAAAAATCCCACGTCTCAATCTACCCTTTACAAACACGGCAAATCCAGTCACCGCCCAGGACTACGTCCCTTTCGAGGCCATAAAACTAGCGTGTTCTAAGCAAAACGAACTCTTCGTCATTCATCATGTTCAGAGCTCATTCCTCTTCCTGTCGATTCAGCTAGATCCCCCCTCCCTTCCTGTCAAATTTGTTCAAATTAAAAAAAAAAAAAAATCGAAGGTAGGGTAAGGGTATAATAAATAGCTCCTCTTAAAGCAGTCTAATTCTTGTTCCAGAATCTATTTAGTGCTGTTTGGTCAGGACGAGGTATTTAAAGAAATCTTTAAAAACAACAAATAGTCTAGCAGCACTTTAAAGACTAACAAAACATGTAGATGGAATCATGAGCTTTCGTGGGCACAGCCCACTTCTTCAGATGACCAGAGTGTTGACACATGCTTTGTTAGTTTTTAAAGCGCTACCAGACTATTTGTTGTTTTTTAAGTTTATCCTCTACAGAGTAACTCGGCTACCCCCTGAAGTTAAAGGAATCTTTGCTAGGCACGTTGAGATTTCTCTGCAAGTTTGTTTTTTTTTAAATCTCCTCCTGCTCAAAAAAACCCACAAAACAATAAAATAAAAAAAGACCCCACCCCAATTCTGCACGGATACCTGGCCTATCCCTTATCAATCAATTTCCTCAAAGAAAATGAATCCCGATCTTCTTTCCTTTCCTATTTTATATTCAATTACTCAGTGCTGACTAAATGCAATCTTCCACCTGCTGTGTGTGTGTACACTTCAGCTCAAGATCACCTTTAAAAACAAAGGTGGCTTCTCGGTGCTTTTCTACACCCTGAAAAGCAACAATCTAGAAAGAAGGGAAGAGAGACGGAACTCAAAACAACACACACAGAGCAGCTAGCTTGCAAAACAGGTCTGATGTAATTAGAGATAATGTAGATAACAGCCCCCCCTTCAATACACAGAGCAAAGATTTTCATACAAAAAGGTATTTTTAAGCTATAAAATTAAAACAAAAACAAAAACACAAAGCCAGTGGGTTTTTTGCTTAATTCGGCCTTATCAGTGGTCTGGAATTCTTCTGATTCCTCTCAATTCTTTACCCAAAGTCCTTTTCTCTCCAGGCCTGAGGTTATGTCAACAGAACAGAGGGCTAGTGCTTTCTTATCTTGTTTTGACCTCATCTGTGGCTCTTCCTACCTAGCGATTTAACTTGTCTTTCCTGTTTGTCTTCCGGAGTTATTTTTCTCCCTTTCCGTGATTTCACTGGGTTGGGGTATCCGCAATGTTGGAGCTGTCAGACTGAGCTCTCTTAGGCGGTCCTTTCAGCAGTCGACTCCCTTGGAGCTGTCAGACTGAGCTCTCTTAGGTGGTCCTTTCAGCAGTCGACTCCCCCCGGTTCACTGAATAAACACACAGAAGAGAAAGAATGGGCTAATAATTCCACGGTGAGATTTCCAATAGTCATTACAGTTCAAAACAACAAATGGTCTGGTAGCACTTTATAGACTAACAAAACATGTGGATGGGATCATGAGCTTTCCTGGGCTGTTCATTTGCAGCTGGAAAAGACTCACCCCTAATGGAGATCAGAAGTACAGGCCAGCACTTCCCAGCTGGCAAGTACCCTAATGCTTTAAAAAGTTTAATACGTTTTTAAAACAAAGACCAAAGTTGTGATTGTAATAAAGGACAGCCAAGAGGTGCAGTTCTAAATTCATAAATAAAGAAAAAGAGCCCTCAGAAGTAACAGCAGGAAAAAGGTGAACAAAGAAGTAATATTAAAAAACACTACACTTTCAGGTGGCAAAGTAATTAGACTGTTACTCTAATGATAGTACATGAAAACTTAAAAAAAAAGAATTATTGTAATACTGTTTCTTAGCAATTGCCTGTAAATAAATGTGAAGCTTAGCACAGCAGAAAAACTATGACTAGCCTGATCTGCCACGTAAGAAGGGAAACTGAGATATACTACCGCGTGAATTTAATATCTCAACAGTGGGATAATTTATCCTAAAACCTTAACGTTGAACTAGTGAACTAACTCAGTGGGATTTTACAGCCCCGTTTCCCATGCTGAATCCCTAGAGCCTCAGCCCAAACCAATGGCTTCAATTCATTCGAGCCCCCTCGCCCAGCATGTGCAAACTCATCGTAGGCAGAGTGCCAGACCAGGGCTCGCTCTGTGATGCCACTTTGGAAGACCTGGGTTCAATTCCCAGCTCCACCACTAGCCCGCTGGGCACCCTAGGGCAAGTCGCTGCCCTGCTCCACGCCTCAGTTTCCCCACCTTCAAAACGCTGCTGATCAGCCAAGAGCTCTTATTACTTATCCTTCTTCACACCCTCCCCGCAACCCCCTAAAAATATAGCTCTGGCTTTTCGCATCAAGCCTGAAAATGAATGAACTGCAAGCCCTCCAACACAGTGTCAGTGGGTAGGGTTCTGAAAACCACATGGGTAAGGCAGATACCCAATTCCTATGAATTTTGCATGGGAATTGGGTGTTCATACTGTGACACCTTTCAGAACCCTACTCTGGACCTTTTCGTTCGGTGTGAAATTTGCTTGGCTCACAGGCAGGCAGGACAGACAAAGAATGAAAAGAACCCAACAGCAACAAAAACTATCCACCCAGCCAGCAAACACAGCCCTTGAAGGGCCTGTCCACACCTTATAACATCTTATACCTGCCCAACTAAAGCAGCAAAACCCTTCCAGTGTAGACACAGTTCTACCAGTGGGGGTAGTTCTCATCAGTCACCGATTCTAAGCCCAGAAGAGACTACTGTGATCACCTGTACTCTGACCCCTAGTCTGACCACAAGCCATAGGACTTCCCTGAATTAATCCCTGTTTGAACTAGCACAGATCTTCTCAAAGAACATCCAAGTTGGATGTAAACACTGCCAGTGATGGGGAAGCTAACATAGGCTGTGTCTAGACTGCAGGCTTCTTTCGAAAGAGCCTCTTTCGAAAGCATCTTTCGAAAGAGCCTCTTTCGAAAGATCGCGTCTAGACAGCAGGCGGATCTTTCGATAGAGGAAATCCGCTTTTTCGAAAGAGAGCACCCAGCGAGTCTGGATGCTCTCTTTCGAAGACGGCCTCTTTACATTGTAGAACGCCTTCTTTCGAAAGAGGAACTTTCGAAAGAAGGCGTTCTTCCTCGTGAAACGAGGTTTACCGCCATCGAAAGAAAAGCCGCGTTCTTTCGAAATAAGTTCGAAAGAACGTGGCTTGAGTCTGGACGCAGGGGAAGTTCTTTCGAAAAAAGGGTACTTTTTTCGAAAGAACCCCTGAGTGTGGACACGGCCATAGAGAAGAGACATAAGCTATCCCCATACAACATTTAATCCTGCACTGCTGCATCCACGTTTAAAACGCAGAGGTGCTGAGGTCCTGGTCTGGCGCAAGCCAGGACTGCTCTGCCTGGCTCGCACCAGGTCCCTGAGCAATCCCTGCTGCGGCTCTGCAGTTTAAATTTAGTATGAGCCGGGCAGCTATCTTACTCCATTTAAAATGCAGAGCTGCAGCAGAGGTAGCTCCGGGACCTGGCGTGAGCTGAGACAGAGCATCTTCCCTTATCAACTAATCGCGTAATCGATACAAACTAATCGGTATCAACCACATGATTAGTCAATTACCTGCCTCTTAACATCCTAAATTCAGGGCGGTCACATTGGGCCCCACGCTTCAAGGGGATGTGAGGTCTCCCCCCACTACAGACCCCACACTCCAGTCGTGGGCAATAATTTTTGAGCGGGGGCCACTTCTAAAAATTTTGAAGTGGTCGCGGGCCGCCCCGGGAGGGGCGGGGCCTCGGTGGGAAGGGGCGGAGCCTTTCAATAGCAGGAGTTGAAAGGGATCGCGCCTCCAATATGGCCGCTCTTACGTTCTGGGTGGCTGCCAGGCAACACAGCCGCCCGGGGAGGCGTGAACCCTTTAAACTGAGACCGTTAAAAGGGCTCGCGGCTCTTCATGGCTTTGATCCGGCCCGCATGTCTGTTCCAGGCCCCGCCCCCTAGCACGTTGCTTGGGAGCCAGACCCGCGCGAGCCCTTTCGACTGCTTCTATTTAAAGGGCTCGCGCCTATCGGTTCCCAGGCAACGCGCTAGGGGGCGGGTCCGTTGGGTCACGGCCTCAACCATTTTCTTCGACGGGGTCACGAGAAAAAAAAAAAAAAAAGGTTGAAAACCACTGCAACACAGCTCCCACGGAGGCCACCTGCCTCCCACGCCAGCTTCCTCGCACCATCTCTGGGAGAGGCGTAGCCCAAAGATCGACAGAGATAGGCCACCGATGCGTCCATAGGCACCCTAACAGGGCTGTTAAATCGATGCCTGTGCTCCTGCGGAGGGCATGCCCTGCTGAGACAAGGAGCATCGTGAGCACGTGCAAAAGCCGTTTAATCCCTGCCGTGACTGGACATGGACGTAACTTCGGTCGCCTTAAATTGGTGGCGTAGACCGGCCCGTAAAGACTCTGTTTGGCCCCCTTAGGGCTACCACCACACCCACCTGCTCTGCGTCCGGCTGGTGCATCTTCTGCACATTTAGGCCCTGATCCTTAACACCCGGAGCTTAGCTTGACATACGGCAAGTCCCACCGACGTGGGTGCATTACGGGGGATTGTTCCATTTGCCTCAGCAGGATCAAGGCTGTAGGCTCCATGGGTGAAATTCTATGGCCTATGTTATACAGGAGATCAGACTAGATTCCCAAAATGGTTCCTTCCAGACTGAAAAAAATCTAGGGACTCTGAAGTGTAATCTCCATAAGGCAAGGACTGTTTTACATTTGTTATAGAGCCCGGCACCCTGATAACAACCCGTAGTGGAATCTGGCTCTTTGCATCAGGAGATCTCAAAGCACTTTACAGAGGAGGTCAGAGAGGGAAACAAAGGCACAGAGAAGGGAAGCTGCTTGCTCAAAGTCAGTCAGGAGCCGAATCCAGCTCTCCCAAGTCCCTAGCCTATGCACCATCCGCTAATCCACACTTCTGGGACCCCACTCTTGATTTGGCCCTATAGGTGCAGTTAAAAGAAAATTGAATGCAACTGTCTCTAGTGCAGGATCTCGGTGCTGAAGTTGTACACCTGGAAGCCAGTGGGGATTTCCAGTGGCCACAGCAATTTCTTTTTTCTTCAAAGTCTTGATTCCAAACTCAAAAAAGGCCACAGTCGACACAAGTCACTAGACGTGAGAGAGGAACGACTGAGTGAAACTCTCCACGGCACAGGCCAGAGGTCAGCCTAACTGATCTAATACCTCCTCCCAGCCTTAAAAACAGGGATGTGAACACTAGTTGACTAGTTGCTCCCCCTTCCCCTTGCTGCCTCTATCAGAAAGACAAAGGGGTGCTTCCAAACGGCAGCACCGCATGGAGCCCGGGGCCAGACCTGACGGGGTCTGGATGTAAAACTCAAAAAATGCTCCCCCATCACGCCTAGGGTTGCCAGATGGTTTCAACAAAAATACTGGACACACTTGACATGACATCACAATCTACATGACATCTGATTGAGAAAATACTGGACAGTTCTATTTACTCAATTATAGTTTCTCAATTTTTTTCCCCGAACAGAAAGCTCAAATACTGGACTGTTCGGTTAAAAACTGGACACCTGGCAACCCTAATCACGCCCCAACTGTTGCCATTGCAAATTTAAGGCCAATTTCTTCTGGGCTCCTCCCACCTCCTGATGACAGGCCCCGCACAAAAAGCTCTGCAGTCAGCTGTTGATGGCTCTACCTTGCCTCAGTCAGGTTCACGCCGGCAGAGCAGAAAAAGCGACCATGTAAAATGTGCCCTTTTCCAGCGACATCCACAGCTTCAAAAAGAGGAAAGTGGGGGAATTTCAAAGCAGATCCAGGAAAGCACTCACCCGCATGCTTACATTTCAGCATGTCCGCCGCCTCACGGAAGTCACTTGAACTGTTCTGTGCTTCGAAGTTAAGCACATGCTTAAGTGCTTTGCTGGATCAGGACCAGAGACATTTAAAAGCACCCTTCAAAACAGCTCGGCTACATTAATGCGTCCTCTCCCTGCATGCTGAGTGTCTACGGGATTACAGAGGAAAAGAAGGGCGAAAAGTGGCCAGTGCCGTGTTTTGGATGCCAGAGTAGAAACTGCTACTGATGCGGCTGTCAATCAATGCCGCCTTGCCACTGTAATTCACTGCGAGTTCCTTTCATGCCAAAGCACTGGCGGGAATGGAGTCTGGTGTGATGGATGAGGGAGACAGGCAGGATGCAGGTCCCCACAGTTCTTTGTAGTCTAATATCTGAAAACAGGTTTTCAAAGCTCCTGCCTCCGTCATTTAGGCATCGTCCATCCCCTCCCTGGCAAATCTCCATCGAGAGAGGCGAAGGACAAATGGATCACAGCCATGAGAGTCTCCTTTAGGGGGACCCTACAGCAGATCAGGGCTGAAGCAGCCGGCAGTGGGAGAAGCGGAGGGGAAGACATGCTTTGCCAATGATAAAGGGGTCCTGGGATCGGAGACTTCCCTTCGTCAGCTGGAAATGCTCTTGCTTTAAGAGTATAAATCGGACGTCTCTTCCCAAGGACAGTATCATCCAAACATTTGCAGTCCCGGTGCTGCCAGCCAGTCTTGCCAACCCCAGGAAACACACGAAAAGAAAGTTGGGATCGCCCCAAAAAATCATGGATTGGTTTTGTTTTTTAAATACTAGATTTATCCAGCGCTGCTCGAATGAAAATGTCCAGGCTGCGTTTGAATCATTGCTCTGGGGTGGGGCTGTCGCTGGGTATTTCAGGATGCAGGCTGCTCCAGGGGGCAAAGGACAACCCCCGCCCTCTCTCACCACAGCAGTTTGGGGGCAGGTGAGAAGCGCCCCTCCATGCTACTGCAGCTCCAGGGGGCACAGCTGGGGGAGGGCTGCGAGTCCCTCAGCTGGGGCAGGTCCAGGTTCCTCTGCCCCCAGAGGGAAGAATGAATCAAACTGCACTTTCCCCTTGCTCCCTGATGAAGAGGAACAGCCAGCAACGTCCTAATATGAATTAGCGGGATAGCAGGGGGAGCTTCAGCCTCCCCCCACTTTCCCTCCCTAAAGGGTGCCTGGGGGGAGGCTTGGGGCTAGGGCAGTCCCAGATGGGGCATCAGGGACATGCCCCCAGCCCGCCCCTTTCATCGGCCTGGTGATTCTGTCTCTTTTTTGTATGGTTTTCTGAGAAGCAATCCCATTCCAGGCACATCCCGTTTTCCTGGCACAGCCAAACCCTGACCTTGCTTTAAGTTATAATAAGAGGAAGCTGCATAGCAAATTTGGTAGTTCTAGCTCTTACTGCTTAGGGGGAATACTTGAGCAAAGAGACAGACAGACAAACCCTCAAAAATATACCACAGATAACGGTGGGGTTCTTTCTATTTACTTCCCAGCTTCTGAGAGTCCTGCTTGTGTGCTTCCATGCCTGGCTGAATTCATCGGTTCACTCTTTGCTTATATGTAAATAAGAAGCATTTTGGAATGGGGGATCCTGTATTTGTTCAGTTTTGTACAGCACCTTCCACGTGGAGGGTCCTTGCTCATGATTATAATACAAGTAATAACAGAGCCTATAGGGTGCATGTTTTCAAACTTTTCTCCGTGTCCACAAGCACTGTCATTTGCAGCCCGAAGCGGATCGTGTTCTGGGAAGGGGGTAGACACCTGCCACCACCCTCGTTTGCCTATTTAAAAGTTGTCTTCCTGACCCCATCTCTTGGAGAATGGTGGGCGAGCTCTCTGCATTGCTTTGTCATTTCTAGTTTTAAATGAAAGTTAAGATCCGCCCACACCACATGACCCCGGGAGCTGGGGCTTTAAGAAACACAAGAATATCACAGGATTTGCAAACAACAAAAATCACAAGAGAAGGGTATTGTTGTGTTGCAGAATCTCACATTCTTTCCCAGGGCTGCTCCCCGGCACTGTCAAAACAACTATTGCATCACAGCGGACAAAACCAACTTATCAGACGTGAAACCTCAAGATAACATTTCACCCAAATTCTCCCCAGCCTTAGTCTACTAGATTGTGTCACTTGCTTATTTCCATGCTCAATCTTAAATGGCAAGCAGGCATGGATCCTAGCGGGGAGAGCAGGACTCGTGAGTTCTATCCCCGCTCTGCCAGTGACTCCGTCACAGCCCACTAGGTAAACCACATGCCTATGCCTCAGTTTTCCCACCTATAAAATGGAGATAACAGAACATCCCATTGCTAATCACATGCCATACCAAAACACATCGGGGGGAGGGGAGTCTTTAAATGCAAACCTTATTCATTTACAAGTTTTGGGATGGGTAAGAACATTTTGTTGTTTATACAGGCAGCAAGCGATTTGCGCTGCAAATTCTGGGGCTAGATGGGACCACGTCACTGCACCAATTGACACCAGCAGTGAATTCGGCCTTAGGGGAATGGAAGACATAAGTCACCGAGGTCTGAGTGGAAAGGAGAGGAGAGGGGTCTCCATCCCTACGTGGGATGCTGCCTCCAAGTGTCTAGGCCTCAAGAGCTGGAAGCCAAGGGGTCGGGTGCTCTATGAATTGCTACGAAAAGGATGTGCTGGCCTTTTTACTGCTCTGTGTCCTGTAGGATCATCTTAGAGGGTGGAGTTGTTGGGGCCACAAAGCAAAGCAGAGAGCTCGCCCGCCATTCTCCGCAAGAGATGGGGTCAGGAAGACAGCTTTTAAACAGGCAAACAAGGATGGTGGCAGGTATCTACCCCCTTCCCAGAACACGATCCGCTTCAGACTGCAAATGACAGGTTTACAAGCTTAGCCTGGAGTGACCCAGTTTTTTATCTGGGGTCCTGTTGCCTGGGCTCTCCGTGGTCACCACAGCGTGTGTGGGTGTGGCTCCCCCAGGCGCACCCAGTCCCGTGGAGCCCTCCCCGTCTCTGGGATTTCACTCTCCAGCCCTGCCAAATAAAAGGAACCTCTGGGAAGGAGGTAGCAGGCGTCAAGCTGGAACCAGAGAGCAGCCAGGGCCCCAGCAAACTTCCAACACTTGAGTCCCGGCCTTGAAACCAAGCAGCCACTGCCAGGAGGTGGGTTGCAGCCTGGGCACATGTTTCCCCCCCTCCCCCCGCTTTGGAAAACTTCTCCAAGTCGAGTCACAACCGTCTGGACCCGCCCCTGCTTGCGTCTTACCACACAGCAATCTTGGTCTCCAGGTTTGCAACACACACGCGCAAAGGGACGCTCCCAAACTTGCCCACGACACCGCACCCTAGGCGGCTGGGCTTTTTTTTCCCGGTGCTCATCCCATGCTCCTTTTGCAAGCAGCCAGCAAACCCTGAAGCCAGTTCCGGGCAGCACAGCTGTGAGGGTGGCTTTGCCGTGTCCCAGAACCATGGGAGGAAGGGAACAAGGGTCCAGATAGCTTTGCCCATATGGCTGCACTCATCAAAAGCCACATTTGCAGCCTCCAGACCTGGCACGCAGACACCCCTTGCGTTGGGGACCAGGGAAGCAGGATCAGAGCCTCACAGGCGGTTAGCTCTTAAAAGCAACCTCCCACCCTTTCCCAGCCCTAAAATGTCTTATTCCAGTGCCCCAGCCAACCTCAGCCATCCCTTCCCCAAAGGCAGCCAGAAAATGAGTGGTCATCTTGCAAATCCACACCCCCTCCCCTATTCCAGATGGGACAGAGGTCTCAACCCACTGACACCCCCTCTGCCAACTCTGCCCCTCAGCAGCCATATTTCTCTTTCCCCGCTGGCATCTGTCCCTCTCCCCCCACCAACCACCTGCTTCCAGATTTTTACCTGGTAGCGGGGAGGTGGGAGAGTAAAGTTTCTTTGCAGATTGCACTCTGAAGCCCCTTCTGGGCCAGGACCGACTCTTCTCCTGCTGGAGGTGGGAGAGTAAAGTTTCTTTGCAGATTTCTCTGTGAAGCTGCCTCTGGGCCAGGACGGACTCTTCTCCTGCTACCTCTTGTTGACAGCACTGTGTTGTTCTTCTTCTCCGCCCCTCCTGGTGCTCATGTAAATGCAACTAATCCGGATTCTGCTACTGGGCTTGTAACTCTATCTCCTTCCTGCAACACATGCAAACTCCCCTGCCTGCATAGGGGGTCTATAGGGTGCCCCCACCACCTCCCACCACCCTGAAACTCTCTGCTGCTACTTTGCTGCCTTCTCTGGGAACTTTTGTGTTTTTTATTTTTTTTCCTCCCCTGGGTGGATCCATCAACAAGAGGCCTGGAGCAGCTGGGGAAAGAAAAACTGCTTGGGTTTCTTGGCTTGGCCTTTGTATTTTCAGAAGGGACATCTGCTGGGTTGGAGGATTTACAGCAGTCAAGGAGGCGGAGAAAGTGTTTTCCCCTCCTCCTTGCCAGTTGAACAGTAATCCACAAGAGCTGCCTGGAGAAAGAAACAAGACGAACAGTCCAACCACCAAGGAGTCCGGTGGCACCTTACAGACTAAAGTTATTAGGGCATAAGCTTTCATGGGCTGCGGCTCACTTCGTCCGAGGGGGGAGGTTTTTTTCATGAAGCTGATGAATTTTTGTACGCGGCAGCCCATGAAAGCTTACGCCTTAATACATTTGTTAGTCCTCAAGGTGCCACAGAACTAATTTTTGCTGAAACAGACTCACAGCTACTCCTCTGCAACTCGTCAGTAGCAAGAGATTAGCCTTACTTACTGGCTGTGTCTATATTGGCATGCTGCCTGCCTACACTGGCGAGGAGTTCTTGCGCAAGAACACTGACGTTCTAATGCAGTGGTCCCCACCGCGGTGCTTGTGGGCGCCATGGCACCCCTGGGGGCATTTGTGTGCGCCCGCCAAGTGCTCGGGGCTGGCCTGGCCCCGTGCACGTGGCACATGCATGGTGCTAGAGCCGGCCCTGGGTGCATGGCGCACCATGGCGCACTGGCCCCAGGTGCGCAGCGCATGGGGGGAGCGCCGGCTCCGGGCGCGCAGATGTTAAAATTGTGTGTATTCTGAAAATTTCAGCAGTTACGCGTTTAAACGGATGGTGTGGGGAGGTGTAAAGGTGGCAAGTTCTCTGGGAGCCAGCTTTTAAGAGGCAGCAGCACCTGGGGAGAAGGCCTGTGTGTAACCATGCTCATCGGTTAACCTAGGCCTGGGTAAAATATGGCCCGCGGGCCGGAAGCAGTGGAAAGCTGCATAGCCCTGCGGGGCACTTTCTTTTTTGAGTCCAAAAAGGGGGGGGAGGGGGAGAATCATATGCTGCTCCTGCCCCCAGCACAATCCCATTGGCCCGCTTCTGTCCAGAAACGGGCACGCAAGTGTCCCTGCCCTCTGGCGCCCGGCGGGCCAACAGCCACGCCCCTTAGTGCCCGGCAATCTCAAATGGTTGGGGACCACTGTTCTAATGTATAAAATCAGTGCTTCTTGCGCAAGAACTATGATGCTCCTGCTCAGGAATAAGCCCTCTTGCGCAACTGTTCTTGCGCAAGAGGTCAGTGTAGACAGGCAACATGAATTTCTTGCGCAAGAAAGCCTGATGGCTAAAATGGCCATTTGAGCTTTCTTGCGCAAGAGCGTCTACACTGGCACGGATATTTTTGCACAAAAGCACATCACTTGCACAAAAGCACATGCTAGTGTAGACGCTCTCTTGTGCAAATACTTTAACGCAAAAACTCCTGCGTTAAAAGTATTTCCGCAAAATCTTGCCAATGTAGACGTAGCCACTATGTGCAGGGGCTGTCTCATAGGATAAGAGTCTACAGGCCAGAGCAAAGAAGATTTAGCATATCAATCTACTGTGGATTACACTGAAATATCATCGTGCTCATTTAAAGCCTGTAGGATCTGACATACTGGACCATTGAGTTTTTTATCCAGCAGCAGCCAGTCCAGTGTTGGCAGTTCCCACAATTCTACTGTGAGTCTGGCAATACTGAATGTGCATTGCTTAAAGCTCCAGCGGCTGGAGGCATGTGATTAGGTGAGACTCGCAGGTGCAGTGTGAGTGTTTGAGGTTGGGCTTCACCTACACTGAAGGAAGAAGCCTTTTGCAGAAGAGTTCTTGTGCAAAAGCGCGTCCAGACCTCAAAGTGCATTGCAAAAGCGATGTGCTTTTGCGCAAAACAGTATCCACACTGTATGGACACTCTTGTGCAAGAAAGCCCCGATGGCCATTCATAGAATCAGAGCACCTGTGCTTTTTCCGATAGGGGTTTCTTGTGCAAAAACCCCTCCGAAGGATCCCTTCCTGCCTTTTTGCGCAAGAGCTATAACACAAAAAGGAGTTATTCCTCGTGGGGAGAGGAATAACTCTACCGGCAAAAGCCCTCTGTTCTGTCAATTTTCTTGCGCAAAAAAGCGCTTGAGGTGTGGATGCTTTGCCATTTTTTGTGCAAAAACAGCTGTGGAGAAAAGCTGAAAAACAGGACTGAGACAATAGATGGCTAATAAAAACCCTTTGCTTTAAAAAGTAGAAACAAGCAAACGAAACAGCTTATGTGATTAAGACTTTTTTTGGGGGGGGCTCATCTTTAGGGGACCCTCCTCCCTAACAGAGGTACACAGGTGTGGGAATGCTCTTTATATTCAGGACAGCAGCGGACGGGGTTGTAACCGAAATGATCAACTAATAATTCAGGGAGTCCGTTGCTCCCTTCAGCCCCTCTACGATCTGCCTTGCCCTGCGATGACATTAATGAGGAGGGTGCAAAATTTGTAGCTTGTGTAGGCTGAGCACTTTCCACACCTCAGGGGCTTCTTCCTTTGGTATAACTCGGCTGCCTCCTTGGACAAATCTGAAGGCTTTTTCAAATCATCTGGCTTAGCATACTGCATGGCCGAGCATCTGCAAAGCCATTCATGTTGAGGTCATTGGTTCCAATCTCGCCCAGGTTATTAGAGTCCAAAAAGTGACAACCTGTATGAAATGACCTGGCAGGAACGGCGTGTACATCACAAAAACCCTCCATCACTCCTGCAGTGTTCCCACCTCTTGAGATTACACTGCAAGCCAGACTGGTGATCTATCCAGCTACTGGAATCATGAGATTGCAAGAGACTCTTTGGCTTTTATTAAAAAGGAAACCAGGGGAAAAAAAGTAATTTTCTCCTCCTTATGGTTGAAGAGAAATATTTAAAACCACGAAGCAACTAACCGCTAAAGTCTCAGACACTAGAAAGCAAAGGAGAAGCTTCTACCAGCATGGTGGTGCTAAGAGTGCTCGGGGCTGGCCTGGCCCCGTGCACGTGGCACATGCATGGTGCTAGAGCCGGCCCTGGGTGCATGGCGCACCATGGCGCACTGGCCCCAGGTGCGCAGCGCATGGGGGGAGCGCCGGCTCCGGGCGCGCAGATGTTAAAATTGTGTGTATTCTGAAAATTTCAGCAGTTACGCGTTTAAACGGATGGTGGGGGGAGGTGTAAAGGTGGCAAGTTCTCTGGGAGCCAGCTTTTAAGAGGCAGCAGCACCTGGGGAGAAGGCCTGTGTGTAACCATGCTCATCGGTTAACCTAGGCCTGGGTAAAATATGGCCCGCGGGCCGGAAGCAGTGGAAAGCTGCATAGCCCTGCGGGGCACTTTCTTTTTTGAGTCCAAAAAGGGGGGGGAGGGGGGCTTGTAAATAACTAGTGTTTGGAACAGCAAGCCAAAGCAGCTTTCATTGCATCATTTCATATGCACATGCCATAATTCTGTGAGCCAGGATACATAACAAGACGCCCGGCGGGCCAACAGCCACACCCCTTAGT